GAAGAGTTAAGACTCCCTGTTGGCAATGAGTATCTGCAAATAAATCAAAGAAGATTCTGATGAAGCAAGTACCAACACCAGTTGAGATACATATGGCTAAACCATATCCTACCAGGATCAGATTCAGAAGACCTTCTTCTTTATCTTGGAACGAAAAATCTCCATGGATATATGCATCTGCAAGGCCTAAATCAACTTCTGTCATAATCTGACAAAAAACACATATAAACGCTTGTCAGCAGCACTGATGGGAAATACAGTTCATGCCCACGCCAAAAGCCAAATTTCAGAGAATTACGACACTAAGTAGTGTCCGTCTACCTTCCAGTAAAACTGGGGATTGTGCACTTTCAGAACTACTTTAAGAGAACACTTTTCCATGCTTCCTGTGAAAGTAAGAACTGTGCCTTCCTCCTCTACTAAACTGTTGATGCCAAATTGCACCACAATTTTTCAAACTCAGAATTCATGTCCAAAAGATAAATTAACAAAATACAGTAACAAAAGAAAAAAGCATCATCTTTTGGGAAACTGCTTTGACTAGAAATCACTTAATAAAATGCTGGAATAAATAAAGGAAATTGAAGTATAAGAAAGATGAAACAAATTATTTCTAAGAACTGACATTACGCAGCCTGTTGATATAAAATGTTCAAAGAAATTAATCACAATATGCCGGGCCACGGTTTCCATGAAAGAGAGTGCCATGATGTGCCTTGGGTACTGGTCAGACTTGAACAAATAATCTTCCCTTTCCCTCGATATATACCAGCCTGCAGGAAAAGTGCAGGTCAGTTTGGAAAATGGATAACATTAAAATTGTTGCAGAAAAAATGATACTACTCTAACGAAAATCAGATTACCGGCACCTTCACTTCAACTCTTCAACATATCGTAAACTGGCCCTTACACAAGACAACTACATCCTATATATAGGATATAGCTAGGTAGGAAAATATATAACTCACAGTTTGGACCATGGATTTCCTGGTATATTATATATATATATATATATATATATATATATATATGACCAAAGAATAAGCTAGTGTCTAGTAGATAAGTGAAAGAGAGGTTTGACAAATGAAGCAAAGTGGCTTAATTCCTTTCCCTTTCGTATAACATAATTGGAATATTTGTTTTCTTTTTTCTGATCTGGATAGCATGTGTAATCTTGTTTTCAATTACTACTAGTTCTTGTAATAAATTTGGCATGGCCCTTTGCTTGTGCATTAATCTATGTTGTATTATTACATGTTCAGCGGATTTCACGTAATTAACATGTGTACACACTAATTAGAAAAACATGCTTAATTAGAAATAGAAACCTCAATAACTTTAAAGAAAGCTACCTATAGAAATGAGATTTTTTTTATTGAAATTAAGAAAAAAATTTTATTAAAATTTGAGGTTCAAAGAAGAAAGAGCATAAGAAGAAAAAGAATTCAAAAGTGAATATTATAAATTGAAACAAAAAAATCCTTAATTGATTAGAAATAGATGAGTTAGTTGACTGAAAATAAGAGAAATACTTGAGAAAAAAATAATTATTAGAGATCATTAAATACACATAACCATTAGTTAAATTGAAAATAAGAGAAATAGTTAAGAATTAATAATTATAAGAATTGAAAAGTGATAAAAAATTAAAATTTATTGGGCACATAATTAAAAAAGTTAGAGAATATATCATTTTATTAATTATCTTAACTTTTATATATTTTTAATAGAAAATAAGATAAATAGTTGAGAATTAATAGGGGCGTGGAAGTGAGGAAAAAATAATTATTTATAAGATATGAGAGAATAGGTAAATATTTTATTAATTATCTTAATTTTTACATATTTTTAATATAATTAATTATAAGATAAAATACATTGATATTTTCAAATTTTGACTATAATTACATATAAGTTCATTAATTTTCAAAATAAACAATCTATAAACAGCATTAATACCTAAACTTAAAATATTTAAAATAATATATTTCCTTTTTCACTGTTTTTCTTCCTCTCGAGTTGATCGGTAATGTTTTTTTACATCAGTCGACCACCCTGCAATTGAATTTGGTCTTGAAATGTCAAATCCAATCAGACCTTGCCAAGAGAGTGCAACATCTGGTCGTGCACCTTAGATCTCAGGCTTGTGCTACCCAAGGGAGTGCTACCAACCTTGAGGTGATTAAGTTGAGAGCTTTTTTGTTTTGAAAAGAAAAAAAATTTTTAAAATGAAAATATAGTTTATATAATAATAATTTATAAAATTAATAAAAAAATTATTTTTAAAATATTAAGACGTCATCAATATAACAAAAACATTGACAGTTTACTAATGTCTAACGAAAATATTTTTTTAAGATAAACTATTAATTTTAACACTAATGAACTGCGTGTAATGATAATCAAAAATTAAAAAAAGTTAATATATTTTATCTTTAATTATATTATTATTATAATATTGTAAAATCTAAAACCATTGCTTTGGTGGCTTCACCCAAAAGCAAACCCTACAGGCTCTATTATTTAATATTAGCAAACTCAATAACTATTAGCAGTGGAAATTTTATGTTAAAGTCTATAATATTAGCAGACTATGTTTTATATTAAAGTCTAATGTTAGACTCTAGTTTCCTACTATTATAAAATTCGTCCTTCAGAAAAACAAAAAAAATTGATACCAATATGCTGGAGACTTTGCTAGGAGGCGGCTAAAGGCAAACTGGGTAAAGGGGCAGCTTCAAATGTTTGAAGTCAATACGGTTGGCTTTAATCTTTGGTAAATATACACAAATATTTAATACAGTTTTTAATTGATAACTTAACAGGATTGCATCGAAAAACTTTTAAAAAAGAAAGAAAGAAGAAAGTCAATTGATTATTTGGCAGACCAAGTATTGCGATTCTTCTGCATTTTGGATATTTTAAGGTGCCCATCTTTATCATCTTCATTGTTTATCAAAAGCTCGCATCATCAGAAAGAAAAGGAACCAGGAAATGCGAAGAACAATGGAGAAGGAAGATATTGCAACTCAGGCACCCAATGCACTGGTGACTAGCGAAAGAAAGATTCGAGATGACCTTCAAGATAAATTACCAAAGCCCCGCACATTTGCATCATAGCTCTAGCTACTGAAAAATCAAATAGCAGCGCAAGCCAAAAAAAAAATTTATACAGTTATTTAATTTTCATTACTTTAAGGAAAGTACTTCTATCTATATCTCGTAATTAAAAACTATAACATTTAAAAAGGATTTTAAACCATTCAGGAAAATTTTAAATATATTTAATAAAATTTTTACATTTTTATTTTGAGTCAAAAGAAATTACTAATATGGTAAGTTAATATCATTTCTAATCAAGTCCAAACACTAATTAACCTAGTAACTTTTCAAATCTAACCGTGTGACCTTCAAAATTTTAATCTCAAGTTGTCAATGGGAATTAACTTATATTATTATATGTCTTAATAATCATATTAATATCTAATGTGGGATGAGGTATCATAAGTGGTGGCATTTTGATTAATTGTAATTAGTCAATCAATAATCATTAGAACTTATTGGATTTAAAAATAAAAAATTTTAAAATTTTTTTAAATAATTTAAAAATTTTTTAAATATTATAAATTTAATTAATTAATTAAAATTTAATTATAATTTTTTTTAAAATATCTAATGTCCTTTTTTCTGGTTTTGGAGGGTTTAGGGTTTATTTCAGTATTAGGGTGAGACAATTATATTTTGTCTTGCTGGAACATTGCTGCCACCAAGGTCAACGATTCTTGGTCTTGGTGAAGCAACTGCAGTAGACAATTATATACATATACCTTGTTTTGGTTGTGTTATTACTGCCCCAAGTGAATGCAGCAGTTCATGTTAAGACTGATGCTTTGATCCAGAAAGAATTCAAACCACCCACAATGCTCATTATTGCTTATAGACTAAATACCATAATTGAATGTGACCGGATTCTTGCTATTATTGTTATTCATGGAAACTAGCAATCTTCTGCCCTCTCTCTGTGTCTCCTTTCTTTCCCAATCAATAAATTTCTGTTAGTGTCTACTTTGCTTGTAACGTAACCTATGTTAAAATATGTTAGCGCCGTATCTATACCAAGAGTAAATTAAACACTATCAACAAAAAATAAAAAATAAAAACTCTTCATCTATTGAACCTTCACTAGATATATATTTACTGCTGAATGATTGTGACCGTTTCACATAACACTATCTGTTTATATCTTCATTTGCCATTCAAATGATGCATTTTGTGGTTCACATTAAGTTTGGAGAGAAAAATCACTAAAAGATAAGTAATTGAATAAGGAAAAAAAATAAAAAGATCATAAGTGATTGGATGAAGAGTTTTTAATTTTTTTTTTCGTTGATAAGATTTAATTTTACTCTTTATTTGGATACCGAGTTAATATATTTTTACATTACAAGCATTATGTAGACACGAAAAGAATCACAAAAAGGGGTTAAAAGAATTTTGCTGCGTCTGAACAAATCATCTGATCATAACGTAGCATTGCATATACGAAAAATATATACATATAGCAAATAGAAATTACGTATGTTGTCCACTTCTCTTTCAGTGAATGAATGTTTTTCTAACAGAAACCTGAAACATTGATAACAAAAGAAAAAAGGTCCGCAAAGGGTAATATAAATTAACAAAACTCTTTGTCCCCATTGCAGAAAAAAACCAAGAGAAAAATTTGCATGTGATCATCAATTGTCTATACCAATATGAGAGAGACGCAGCAAGGCAAAAGGCTAACTCCCTAAAGGCAACTTCAAACAGAAAAAGTCAATAGTTGGTTTCAATATTGGTAGTTACGACATATATTGTTTCCAAATTACGCAACATTTTTTGATTGATAAACTAACAAGGTTGCGTGAGAAGCTAAAAGGTTAAATTTATTGCAATATCTCCCATCATTTAAAGTGGTCATCTTTATCATTTGGAGTGTAAAGTTGTCTCTATAAAGGAGCTTCATTGTTTATAATACAGCTCACATCATTAGAAAGAAGAGGAACCAGGATAAGAGAAAAAGAAAATGGAGGAAGCTATTGCAACTCAGGCACCCAAGGCACCGGTGACTGGTGAAAGAAAGATTCGAGATGACCTGGAAGAAAATTTACCAAAGCCCTGTAATATGTTACTGTCTTTTCTTTTCTTTTTTTGTCTCTCTCTCTCTCTCTCTCTCTCTCTTTCTCCTTTTGTTTTTAATTGTGATTACTTATGCAAGAAACCCATAGTTTATATCTTGCGATCAAGTATTGGTTTAGTTAATTGAAGACCAGAAATGTCCTTTCCACTCTAGGCAAGTCTATCTTATGGAATCACAGGTTGACATCTCAATCTAATGTGTCTGTTTCTCTTTCTTTGATTCAATCAGATTTGGCTAGAGCACTGGAAGCTCCTGATGTGGAACATCCGAATGGAACATCAGGACATGAGAATAATGGCATGAGTGTTCTTCAGCAACATGTTGCCTTCTTTGACCAAGACAACAATGGAATTGTTTATCCCTGGGAGACTTACAGAGGTAAATTTCCATGTTCCAAGCTATCCATATCCACCCTTTTTGAGTAGTTTGTTTTTCTTTAATTTACTTTCATTTTTATTTCTCTTTTCACTATGTGCAAACCAGGTATGCGAGATATTGGTTTCAATCCATTTTCCTCTTTCTTTATCGCAATTCTCATCAATTTAACACTGAGTTATCGTACTCTCCCTGTAAGTTATTTGTGCTAACTTGTATTTTCTTCAAGAAAATATATATATACACACACACCACCAAAATACTGATATTGCATTGACGTTTTCTTACAGGGATGGCTGCCAAATCTGTTGTTTCCCATCTACATAGATAATATACACAAAGCCAAGCATGGGAGTGATTCAGCGACATATGACACTGAAGGAAGGTTAGCATATCCGTTCTCATAAATATGAAACGTTAAAGCATGAAGCTTAGAAATTCCTTGAACATGGGAGTTGCAGGTTTATGCCGGTGAATCTTGAGAACATTTTTAGCAAGTATGCTCGCACAGAACCTGACAAGTTAAGTTTCGAAGAGCTTTGGCGGATGACTGAGGCAAATCGGTTGGCATTTGACTTCGCTGGCTGGTTGGTTAAAGGACCCTTGTGTTGAATTTTGGATGGTGATTAAATAAATGCTTGTTTCAGAATGATTCCTTTGTTTCTATGTTTTGTCATGGTTTCGCAGGGTTATAAGCAAGGGAGAATGGTTGCTTCTGTATAGGCTTGCCAAGGACCGGAATGGTTTTCTGCATAAAGAAGCTGTAAGGCGGTGTTTTGATGGAAGTTTGTTCGAGTACTATGCCAAAATGAATAAGGGTGGTGATAGAAAGAGCCGCTGATAAAGCAGTGTTTGCTGCCGTTCCGGCGGCAACTATGACCCTAGCAGCAAATTTAAGTGCGAGCCTAGTTCTAATATAATAAATCTCGTTTTTTTTTTGTTTTTCTGAAAGAATAATAAACCAAGCAAATAGTATCCTGCACGTTGGAGAACAAAGACACCAACTGTTATGGTTCTTCACTCTTATCAAATTCATGTCAATCGTATTATTCCATAAATTTTTTATTCTTTTATCGCCGTCCACCATATGTAGGTGATTTCTTTAGAAGAAATGATTAAGAAATGCAACTCATAGATTAGTCCCCCGCTTGGAACTAGTCTTGTTGATTAGCTGATCAGGGGATACAAATCCTCTGCCCCCCTATCATGCCCCGATCCGTGCCGCTTCTTTTTACTTTTGCCATCTATCCTATTTTTTTAACGTCCACTGTTAACATCACTTTAAAAATAATAATAATAAAAAATCTTACGTTAAGTTGTTTTCTTGTTAGCTGCTTGCTTCGCTTTTATCTTGTTTTGGCCGCATGCTCTTCTTTCACTTCGCTTTAACCTTTTGACAAAATACTTTCAACCTTTACAAAAAATTTTTATTAATTTTTTAAATTTTAATTTTATATTTATTAATTCGTGACGCTGTGTTTCATTGATTTATATACTTACAAATAACGTTCTTTATATTTTTCTTTTGCTAAAAGAAGAATCCAACATAAAATTGGGCTTTGATGAAACATTTATTGGTTCACATTTGTACATGAAAAACCTTTTTCCACGTCTTCTGCGGCAGAGACAAATTGGACTTTGTCCTTAATAGTTTCACGACCCACAATCGGGGCGAGGGCCGGGGGTGGTTTTGCTACCCAATATATAGATATAGAGAACACAAACATAAGGTACATATATCCCCAACATGATTTAAAAAATGGCCACATCCATAACATCCATAGGTAAAGCTCTCCATAAACTACATTCCATCTTCAAAATGAAAACCAAAACCAAAACCAAAATCATCCAACTGATATTCTGAACAAACAAAACTTGTAACAAAATCTTAATCAAGCAAACTATAATTAGTCCACTGAAGAGAAACAAAATATCTAAAATTTGAACTCCTAAACGATGGCGTTGGCTGCACTTGCAATCCTTGGCCACAGATCAGCACACTCCTTCCCAATTGGACCAGTTATAGCAGAACCTAGAACAATAACATCAGGAAGAAAATGCCAATTAATATCATTTAATCCAGGCATTGTAAAATTGGATGTTGTCCTACATAATTGAAATGCTTTTTAATTAGATGTACCTTTCATTTCACCCTTTGGATTCACAATGACTCCAGCATTATCTACAAAGAAAACAAGATTGGGATCAGCAACCTAAGACAGTTGAACGTCAGAGATCAGCATCTATGGAAACAGATCAAGATAAACTGAAAGAAAACTTAAAAAGTTTAACAACAGCTGTGTCTCCCAGCAGACATTCTGCATGTTTATGAACACCAAAACAGCCAATATCATACTATTCTCAAGTGATGTGATCAAAATGTGCAATGGAGAACAAGGTTCAATGTGAACATTTGATAATATGTAGCGACCAAATGGAGCACATGCAAGCTTCAAAAACATATTGCATCTGCAACGATGGACACACTCACTTTTCCAGACATGTAACTGTATCAACCATTGAACATTAACGTAGATACCTGACTTAAGTCTGGTGACATGACATTAATTTAACTAATTACCAAAACTACAATGTTTTTTAGACTTACAGAATTTTCTGTTAAATATGAGGTAACCTCATTAACCAGTTATTCTCCCACCATAAAACATTTTAGATCCAGTGTCCCAACCTGGACAGGGATGATAACAATGGTTACCACCTGGTATTGGGGTAAGGTTGGTATATCAATTTAGCTGGGTATGGGAGGTGTAGGGAAACCCTGATCGAAAAAATTCTCCACACCACATCACCAGCAGACAAACCACCAAAAAGAAAAAAACCCAACATAAAAATGTCATAATAATTTACGGGGAGAATTCTGAAAACAAAAGAAAGAATGTATCGAATTGCGAAAAGTGAGATCCCAATGAGAGAGATCCCACTCGATAAAAATATTCGACAACTAAGATAATTTTGCTGGTCTCAGGAAGCATCAAATCATAGTGCGCACACGTTAATGAACGCATCAGGACACCGCTTAACCAGCAAACCTCTATCTTCAGCAAACAGTCTAAACACCAATTATCAGCAGCATATCAATAGGATCTACCATTCTTACAAACCGTAAACTAGAAGGAGTAAATAACCATAAAAATCACTAATTTCAAGTCCCTTCACCAAGTTATGGAACTACAGACAATCATAATCGACAAAACTACATAACATAAAAACCACGAAGGAGAAAAATATTTACCTTCAAAGTACATGTAAACTCCATCCTTTCTGCGCCAGGGCTTACGCTGCCTCACAATGACGGCAGGCAAGACCTTCTTCCTGAGATCAGGCTTCCCTTTCTTGACAGTAGCCATAACCATATCTCCAACACAAGCAGATGGCAAGCGGTTAAGGCGGCCCTTGATTCCCTTCACCGAGATGATGTAGAGGTTCTTAGCACCGGTGTTATCAGCACAATTCACTGTGGCCGCCACCGGCAGACCCAGTGACATCCTAAACTTGTTACCAGCTGACCCTCCACGTCCTAATCAAAAATAAATAAATAAATCAAACCTTTTTCAGCTATCAAATAGACGATGAAAAATAAACAAGAACCCACATATAAATTTTTCATCTTTTTAATGTTTTTATAAACCCTCAACCTCTTAAATCGGTCAACAGCTATTCAAGCTTGCATTTCTTAAACGTAATAAATCAAAACAAAAGAGATAGATCTCATTCCTGGGTATTTCTGATCTGGTTTTTGCTTATAGAGTTGGAATCATGCAAGCAAATATAAAAAGCTGGATTTTTTTTTTCAATTGTGTTGCTCTTTTGTTCTTTTCTTCTCGGGAAACAAACGGAAAAGGAAAATGAAACTGAAACAAGCAATGAGCTCATAGAGAAAGAGAGAATGGAAACTAACCTCGCTTCGACATTTTCGACGGCTAAAGAGAAACAGAGAGCAACAGCTAGGGTTTTTGAGCGTTATATAGACGGCAAATTAGGGTTTTTTGGATTTTGCTTTTGTGTTGACTGACAGCTAATGGGCCTCAAGCCCTAGGTCTGACCCCTACCTCATTCTTGGGCCTTGGCCCAATATTGAAAAGTTTGGTTTAACATATTCCATTTTAGTATCATTTATTTAATATTGATTATGCTTAGTAATTATTAGGAGTGGAAACAAAAATACTTAAATTTATTCCAACATAAGAACTAGTAATATTTTTTAATAACATGAAGATGCACCAATCCATATCCTCCTCTTGGTTCTTGGTCTATAGAAAACAGATTACAACTTTATATATTTCCATCTTCAATAAGATCCCAATGTCCATTGCAATTCAAGAATTGTTCCTTTAGAGCTTGACTTGGCTTTTACGTATAGGCACTCCATGAGCTTTAACCTTTCATTGCATTGCAGGCCTTGGTTTCTTGCAATTGCACCGCTGACACGATGAGAAACTTTCCTATCCAACTCAAGCTTTATCCTTTCTTTCTCTTTCCCGAACAGAACAAGCTTTATACAGTGACCTTACGGGAAATGTTGATGGCACAGTTATGGATTGAACCAAAAGAAAGAATACTAAATAGAAAGCTTTACAGAAACGTCAGGAAAGCTAATGGCAGCAAGTTTTCACCTCCTTGCTTGTTTTACCTACATCTATTAAGGTTATCCAGCATGTTATGATCAATGTCTTTCTTCATAAAGTAATCAACAAGAAACCGAAAGAGTGGTAAGCTTTCCCGCAGTTTCCATGGAAGAATATAGATATTAAAATACAACTTCTTACAAAAATGAATGTTACTTTTATCCTTGGAACATGATCAAACGCATTCTTCAACCCAACAGAAACAAACCCAAAACAGAACATGAAAAGGGATCGAGGGACAAGAATGGTTCTCATGCAATAAGTCTAAACATCAAACATCAAGCTTCAAATTCCATTTAGAAACTTAGCAGATTCAAATTTTTGAAAGAAAACCTTCTAATATGTCCTGCTTTGACCGTAGATATGTAAAGTATATATGTATAATGAAATGTATACCCATGTGGTTGAATGTTTTGTTTTAGATTTTCGTAATAAATGGTTTTTGGTCTTAGTTTTGTTCTTTACATTGTTTATCACAGTTTTACAGTTCATAGAATTTGTGTTTGAACTAGTTTCTTTTCTGCTTTAACTGCTTTCATGGAGTTTTGAGGCCTACTCTGCAAGAAGCCAGCAATCTTTGACATGTCCGGCCAATTTTTTTCAGGTACTTGACTGCCTAAGACTCTTGTGAAATCCTATATGAACAATATGCTTCCTGGTTTTGATTAGTTTCTTGGATTGCAATTCCATCATAAAATGCATTTCAGGATGGAGCTGGTTTTGGAAGATGAATATAAATCAGACCTCCTGGGGTACCAGAAAGTTTTCTAATGGTTTAATCAATTGTGATGGTTTACAAGCAATAACATTTTATAAAATGGAAAAAGCAAACTTAACCAAATTTAGATGTGAATGAACCTGTCTTGTCTTGAAATGATAATAATGTAAACAAAGTGTAACAGAATAAGTGGGCTAAACACACACCAGAAATATAAGATGACAGCTTCAGTTTACAATCTCAAGTAACTTGTGTGTTTCATCAACAATTTCAGCAACATAAGAATTCTGTTTGATTTCGCAGTGAACAGGATTGAAAGGGAAACAGATCCAAAAAAAGTCTTGTATAAATATAAGATGAGCTTTCATGGAATTCATTAACAGCCTCACTATGTTCATTCAGTAGTTCACCACTGCTTGGGAATAGGTATGGTAACCCCTTCAGTGGAAGGACTTTCCAAAAAGTTGAACTGTTAGTATGCTCCTGGAGTAGTTCATCAATGTGTTTTGACTATTTCCATGCTCCATAGTAAAGACGAGACAGAGAAAGGAAAAGTGCATCTGTATTTATTAGCATTAATCGCCTTCACCATAGAATGGTTTCAAAAAACATATTGAAGCATCTTGTGAGCTTCTGATTGAGCTGTTTGCATTGTGAGGGAGAAAAGGATCTCCTATCTCTTTCAGGGTTAGTAAGACCATGTTAACCAGGCACCACCTGCCTCAATCTTTTCTTCTGGGTACTACCTGCCATCAGCTGAAGTTAATGGGTGCTATAAAGTCAAAAGAAAATATACTCAATGATAGTCACCTAGCAAAGCAAGGAGACAGCATAGGATTCCAAATGTTTTGTGCACTTCTGTGGGTAAAAAAATAACAGTCACGATCACTCACAACTAAGTAATCACTAGATGTTCTACAACATAGTAGACTATATACTTTTTAATCAATTCAGTATGAACATAGAAGGCAAGTGAAAACTTTCCTACATTTTAGTCAAAGAAGAGAGATACCTGGCACCATGTCATGAAGAGTAATATACAGATCCAAGGCAAAGGCTCCAAACCTTGGCAGCAAGTTAAAGTCTTTCATATTTTCACAGAATGGTATATTTCCAGCCGATGTGTTCAAACCATTCCCAATGGAGGAACCAATGACTTAGTCTTATCTGTGATCAATTTGCACAATGCACATTCATGATATTATGGTAAGAAACATCTCTGTATGAGACGAAAACCAGCTTATCATGACCAAGAGCCTGCTATAAGATTTTATTTCCTTCAAGAGAAAGCACAAAAGAATGCTTACTTTTGCAGGAGAGAAAATGATAGACAGTCGTAGGAATATAACTGGTGAGAGAAAGTTGAAAAACTGAGTGAACTAGGATAACGCATTTAAGAGTGAAAAAAAGTAATGTGACTTGAAGAGAATGCAGTAACACCATACATAGGAGTAGAAGCACAAGTACCAGCCTCCCCTCCCCATCCTTTCCACTCTCTCTATCCAAAATACAACAAACCTGTAGCACTCAGGTGACTTTAAGCCAACAACTGATCCAAGCTTTCTCGTTTAGAAGAATGTACTAAGCTTTAGGGTTTCAAATTATGATGCACTGTGCACCATGGAACAGTGACTATAAGGTCTCTCATATAGCATGTGTCTCCTAATTGACCAACTTGAAATGCACATGTGAAGCCAAAAAGTTTCAAGAGCCTTTCTGTCCGTGAATGCAGTATTTATTTAAACAGAAAAAAAAATATTCATTGTCACCACTTGCTAGTAGCTAACCTGACAATTCCAGACAAAATTCACTGAAAGCAGGAGTGCAGTAGGGAATAAAAAATGTATGTGCAAAAGCATCTTAATAGAAAAATAATTTGAAGACTGTTACTCGAAAAAGAAAGTCATCACACTTAAAGTGCAACCGCATCCCTTATTTTGAAATTCCTGACCTAGATGCTGGTTCTTCTTATGCTTGAATTTCACTTCTAGTTTGTTCAAACATAACTTCAAATTTTACTGAATATTAAGGGCTACAGAGTATAGGATACATGTGGTATAAAATTCACTCCGTCTAAAACTTGTACGTTCAATTGAAAAGGAGCACATTACAAGATATTTTGTTCTGAGAATCAAGGATAAAATTTCCAATCAATAACAGGCAACCTATATAAGAAACCAATCTGAAACCAATCAAACTAGCTACCTGAAAACATAAAAATAACAATCTCAATTTATGTATAAGTACCTAAATTTCAACTTACACACTGCTGTCGTACAGAGGGTTACAACTAAATAAAATTAAATTGTAGATCTCGCTACCTCAACTGCTGTACATTTTTAGGTCGGAGAGTGGGACTTTGAGTATGGATGTACGCAACTGCAATTGAGAAAGACTGCAGAGCTGAGAGTGTTGATTGAAAATGAATAAAATACAGGCCATCATGAACATTTGCTATCCTTAAGGTTGGAGAACCATGCTCTGAACCCTGAAAATTGAAGTTGGGGCAATGGTTATCACAACGCTTATTCAGTTATAATAAAGTTATTTGATTGCTAATTACGAAAAAGCAAATCTGTTCTTGTGAGGAGAAAATGTGAATACATAAATATCATCTGTCCTTGTGCTTCTAACATTGCCAGTGAAGCTAAATCCTAAGAGTATTAACCATCTTAGATTATAACAGACAGGAAAACAGAGAGACTGTCATACCTGAATGAAAAAATCAAGTAACTTGCATGCCTCAGACATATCTGTTGGAGGTAAACCTCCTTCTTTACTTGATCTGGCTTTAAGTACCTTCAGCGGACAGCCCAAGTCCCAGCCACCACAGTCACAATGTCCACCAGATCTCCATCTTTCAATAAGACTAGAGGGGCCACCATTTCTGGTTCTAGGGCCACCGTGAATACCTGCTGGAACTAGAATATCCATACTTGTTGAGCAATCACCGGAATCACGAGCACAAGTAGAAGGAACTGGGGCTTCCAAAGTGTCAACGGTTTGCTTAACCCCAGCTTTCTTGAGAAACTTTAAGCCCCAACCTCCAACTTCCTGCTGAGGATTCTCAGGGAAATGGTCCCTCACGACAATGGCAGCCAATTCAAGATTTGGTGGAAGCTGTTCCTCTAAAAGATTTGTCCCACCTAGTGCATCACGATTGTTGACTGCATCTTGGCATGGGTCCCAAGAAGAATCTTCCATTATGGAACTTGATTGAAGAAATCTAGACACTGTTCTCTGCTTGGATGAGTGACCGCTCTTGAATACTTCTGCCACCTTTTTAGATAGACCCTTATTCTTCCTGTGGTTATTGCTCGGAGTTTGCATCTCCCCACTAAAAGTTTCATTACCACTAAACAAAACAAACTCAGTCTCCATGATTTTAGAATCTTGGGGGCCAATTGAGAAAGATGTAGATACCTTCATCTTACCAACAAGGTGAGACTCATTATCACGTATCCCATGGTCCTTGTGGCTACCCTTGCTTGAATGGAACAAGTACGTATAGTCTAGACCCTTATTGCAAGCTGATCCTTCCTTTGACAAATTGGCTACATAGATCTCCCTCTGATTATCCAGGGAGAAAACAAAATGTGGAATCCCACCCTTCCATGTACATTGAAGCATTCCCTGAGATATTGTCGTAGAAGTAGAAGAAATGGACTGATCAGAGCATGTTGAGTTTGTACTTGACACAGAAACAAGCCTTTTATGAACAGTCTCGGATCCATATTTCAGATTTTCTGAAATGGGTGTTTCACTTCCTAGCTTATGTGCGGAATAATAACTGAAACCACCAGGAGAGCTCATGACATCATAACTCATTGATCCTTTAACATCATTCAAACTTGCATTGACATCCAATGCACCCATTTTCCGTAACAATGGGCTCTTCAATATATTTGCCATACTTCTGCTGCCCATTATTGAACCTACAACCCACTGTCCAGCAGAACCAATGACTACACTGCCCGTCCCAACTGCCAGTGGACATTCAAAAACAAACCTGCGCAAATCACATGTTTTTTCATCAGTGATTTTAGCTGAATTCAGGCCATCAGATAAAATGCCCATCTTTGCAGAGCTCAAGTTCACAGAGATGTTGCATCTGGCTGCTTTTGCTGCACTTATATGAATCAATTCCAGGCAACAACGAAGATATTTCTCATCTAGAGTAACCACATGCCTGGGAACTTTGTTGCCTATGCCAAAAATACTCCAAAGGAATGAATCCTTTGTAAGACTTTTTCCGGCTTGTAATCTTTTGACATTTAATATCAGAGCATGCTGTGGATTTACCCTTCTTGCCAGCTTTTTCAATTTTAATTCAGAATAACACATTCCGTTGTCTCTTGATATATCCTTGTTATTCTCCAAGTTTTGCAGTGAATCTTCTTTCCCTTGGTCATATTTCTGACCATTAACAAATCTGTTGTCCATCTTCTTTCTCTGATTCATATACTGCATTAATGATGTGCAAGTCTCATTTCCATTTTCTACCTTGAAACGGTTGATGTGAGTATGACAGCAGACAGCAGACAGCAACCACACTTTATACACCTCTAACTTTCCAATTTGTACTTCACTAGAAAGCTGAAGAATAAGATGAAGAACAACATAAAGATAGTACAAAAAAGAAGAATGGAAAGAAAGCTATAACTGGTATACTACCAATCCTTACCTCAACTAGAAAGGATAAGATTTAAGACAAATCTTAACGGAGAGGGTATTTTCAATGATGAGAAACAAAACAAAACGTGTTGGACTCGAATAATAACTTTATCAAGTAATGATGGAGCTTTGATTTTTATACATGCAACTATGTCAAGTTATGAACAAGAAAGACAAGAGCATATACCCTTCTACTTTCCCCTTGTCTTTTTTCATTTATTTTCATTGTATCTAGAGGAGATAAAAACAAGCATATGTAAACTAAAAGTAAATTAGTTACCAATCGACATCAAGATAAAGAAAACTTCTTTTCTTTTCTTTTTAATGTTTAATAACCATAAAAGCTTGATTAAATCTTATCAAAAAAACAAAGAGCTCGATTACATCAACATCTAGATTATATATGCATGAAAAGGAAGGAATAAAGAAGCATTCACTGAAAAATGCAGCAGAAAAACATTTAGAAACATTGTATCTGAGAAATTATTACCTTACCAACTTAATGAAACTCAACCAAGCATACTCCAAATATGATAGAAGAAAGACGGAAGATCACTCAAATTAAATACATTTTAAAGAAAACTGATAGGGTCGTTGAACACAGTCAAACATAGAACTACATGAACAATAGGCCAGCTTACATCAATCCAACCAACTCCACTAGATACAAACCTTTTGAATCAAAAGAAAATGAAACACTAAACCAGAAAATTCAATCTTTCTCTTCTGTACCAACTTTAAAAGGAAAAAACAGGGAACTACTTGCTATTAAGTAATACCAGAGAAAAGGAAAAAAAGAGAAACATGGAGTACCAAAAAAACCAGAAATAAACAAAGACAGTCAAAATCAAAATTAGAAGAAAAATAAAACAAAGAAGAAAGTTGCAAACTTTTATGAATAGAATAAGTAAAAAGGGAAACTTTTTTCTCTTACCTCAAAAAATGGATCCAAGGAACAAAGATCAAGCACCCCAATCCAATAGACAAGCCAAACCAGCAAAGATAAGAAGCAACAGCTGATTCCCAATAAAGTAAAAACTTAAACACCCATTAACCAAGAGCTTAAAACTCCAAGCAAAGAATAACCACCCAATCAAGATAATAAAAAGGCAGCTTTGTGCCTGTGAGAAAGAGCAAAAGGAAGATGCAAACCATACAAGGTTCCAAGCACTGTTTTTTTTTTTTTTCCTTTGTTAAGAGGAAAAGTTGGTAATCCGTTACTGTTTTAGACACTAATCAAGGTTTTTTTTTTTCTTAAGAGAGATAAGAGAGCGAAACAAAGCAAAGCACCCAAAAACTGAAGCAAAAGTAGTCGGGGGCGTGAAGTAAGCCACGTTTAGTTGTGGAATTTTGGTTCCATGCTCTTCCATATAGTTTCATGTAGGACCCACTTTCAATTTTCCAATTTTTTTCCTCTAGGCCAATAAAATACAGAGGGAAAAAATGAAAAAGACACAGATAAGGAAGGGAAAATCTTAATAAAGAAACCATTGAAAACTACATAGAGAAAAGAGGAGGTGAGCTGGAACGCAGGATGTGAAACAGAAGTCCACTAAGGCCAAAAGAGAGAGAGAGAGGGCCACTTGCCAAATAGGGAGGGGCACATCAACTGAAAATGGACTTCCCTTGTTTCAAAGTCTTTCCTTAGTTGAGTTTTTAACCACAGTTTTTCTTTTTTTTATTACTGGAATTTTATGATTCAAAATCAAAAGGATTTTCCCAAAGACATGTGACGGAGAGAGAAGGAGAGACAAGAGAGGAAGATCGGTCTTGATCACTTGGGGGAATGGGTCAAGTTGGTACTACAATCTTCTGTTCAAAGCTTCTAACATAAACAACAACATGATCCCCGCTGTTTCTTGTCATGTTTTACTATGATTTCATTTATTGCAACCTGCTGCATGTTGGTCTTTTAATGTTCTCGGATTCTCTTTTCCTGCTTGTACTAATTTATCACATTCAGTATATCACCAATTCATCATTGCATAAAGCACCATTAATAATTGGGCTATTACATTAAAATAAACTGTTTATTAGTATTTTTTTCCCCTAGGAAATATATAATGTAATATCACTTCATGATGAATCCTTATTGTTAATTTGTTTGTAGTAGAATATTCCACATTCTTAGTCTCTTCCTTTAACTGTTGTTGAAAGCATAAGGAAAGCAAATCCCCTTTCTTTATTGTATTTTATGAAGCAAGTAAGGAAAGTAACTCAAATATTAGGTAGTTGAAAGTAAAAGGAAAGTAAATCACATTTCTTAATGTATTTTATGGGAAAATTAAGGAAAGTAAATCAACTATGCAGTTGAAAGTATAAGGGAAGTAAATTTTGGTTTGATTACTTTCCAAATATCAAATCCTTTTCTAACTCTTTTGGGCACATAAATTTAGAAAATTATAAGTAAATTATTTCATCCAAAATTTCATTATATTACTATTAATTTGACTCAAACCAACCCCATTTTTAATAAAATTTCATGGGTTTCTTTTCTTTTATTTTTTTTAATAATTTTTCCCACTCATATATTTGAATGTGTCCATTACAAGTGTGGTGCAATAAGAAATTGGTTGATGGTCTCTATGCCCTGATTCTGGTGAGTGGCAAGCAGGGGGGAATAAGTCAAGAACATGTGAAATGGTTCCTCCACTAACTAGGAACCATAGTGCCATGACATGGGGAAAACCAAAAAACCTTCCTATTGGCACATCCAAATATGTGTCTCCTGTTCAAATCAAAACAAAATTTCAAAACCCCATTATTTCATTAGGTCCAACAGTGTCTGACCTCCCATGTTATGCATGGGGTTTTTGGTCTTCATCAGCATCAAATGTGATAACGAAAGGATTTGATATTTAACTACCACATCAGACAACCTCAGAGCTATTCTTCTATCCTTTCAGTGTAGTTTAAACTAATGTAGCCTGAGACTATACGCTACCATGGAAGTTTTCCACGGCTCTCTAACATCAATTCATTCGATAAGAAAGTGAAGTTTCCTTGGAAAATCCATTTTGCTTTAGATGTGATGTGAGAATGGGGAATTTTCATAGCATTGTTTCCTACTTAGAAAATTACATCTAAAACAAACTCATGTATTATGGTTATTTATTTAAATTTTTCATTTTTTATTTCATTTAAATAAGTCTTTAAATTTTGATTTAAATCTAAACAAGCTTTATTGAAAAATTAATAATCATTAACAATCCACGCCTAAGCACTAGTACAACAAATTTTTAAATCTAAATCGCATGATTTTCAAAAATTCAAATTCAAGTTGTTAGTAATGATGGTCTTAAATTACTATATAACTCTTAGCAATTATATTCATATTAATATGGGATATGGAGTATTACATCAATATCAATTGATTTTTTCTTTTTTTAAGGTAATATATGACTTAACAAGTTAACGTGATCATGTGATGATCATAGAGTTATATATATAGAATCTTTTTTTTGATCTTGTCAACTCATCAAGTTATATGTCTTTAAACATTTGATCTATTAATTAGTGCATGATCTCTCTGTTTAAAGAATATAAATTCGAATTCATCTTTCTTAAAACAAAATATGCCACATGAATAAATGAAATTAACTGGCATTAAGTTTGATGATGATTAAAGACTTATTTAAACTTAAATCAAAATTTAAGAATTCATTTAAGTGAAATAAAAAATGAAAAACTTAATTGAAGAAATGACCATAATACAAGAGTTTTTTAAAGCTTAAACCTACTATATGTATAGTTTTAACTTAAGAAGATAAAAAATCTCTAATCATTTGAAACTATGTCATTAACTTATCCAAATAAATATTAAAAAATTTTGAAAATTGAAATACAAGACAATGAAAAATAAATTGAAAACATTCCCGGGCATTTCATTTTTTCAAAAAAAAAATAATTACATGATTTGATTTTTCATTTTGTCTATACATTGGCAGTATTTTAAGCCTGGCAAAAGAATACACTATGTTTAGTGGTGCATATATTTTCAGTCGTCTAATCCCCCAAATTCCCGGCAATTTGAATATTCAAAATAAAAATTTAAAAGAAAAGTGGGTCCAACAAGATCATATATTAGACAATTATTGACCCAATCAAAAATCAAGCTATCTAGTTTTAAATTGAACAAACCCTTTCGATCTTCTTAGGAACCGCCTGTCCAACAACCTCTTTTGACAAATACATGAACACCCCCTTTTTGTTGTCTCGCTCATGTATGCCTAACTCTCCCCTCTGTTCCCCTTTTGTCAAACCCCATTAGAGTCAAGTTATTGCATTCAGGGGCTTAAATTTCCAGGGTTTGATCATGACCCCTATTGCCTTCAGTTTCATTGAATCTGATTGTTTTTTTAATTATTGAAGCAAATTATTATGATTAGCAACTTTATTCAGTGCTGGGAAGATTCTTAATTACAATGATTATGTTAATTAGAGATAATTAAACCAAAGAAAAAAAAAACTATGATAGTCAGCATGATGGACAGCAGTTGTTTCATGGGATTGTATACCAACTCCATTCAGTCCTCAATGGCAATGGCATCATAGTAAGTTGTACTTGAAGATATAAAGCATTGTAGACCATTATTAATATTCAAGTTTGGGTTGTAGATGTTACTCTGTTAGACTTTTTGAACTTAGCTAGAATATATATAAACCTTGAGGGAGAACAAATACCATCCTATTGCCATTAATTTTTCAACATCTAAAAAGGAAATACCCACAAATTTATAGGATTAAATCAATGTAACTAATGAAATATTTCATGGGAACTATGCAATTAGTTTGGGTCAAAGGTGTAAATCTCACACTCATTGAAGATGGAAGGGATTTGAGGAGTGAGGCATAAGAAAGGTCAACTAATACTTCTTTGTACCCTTGAATTTATAGGTCAGTCTCTGTTTTTGACTTTAATTGAGTGCGTAACATGTATTTCATTTCACTTGGAGTTATGAACACAACAATAAAAGAGACATGCAAATGCAAAACAGCTTCCATTTTCCAAAGGAAGAAAACATCGTTGGTAAGGCTTGGGCTTAGCATTTCTCGAGCAAGACTTGGGTTTGGTTGAAGCATGACCTGTTGTATGCCTAAGCTTCATAAAGCCCTCTAGTCATACGCAAGATTGTATCCAAGTAGCCATTTTCACACTGAGAATATGCCTAAAAAAAGCAAAAAAAAATAAAAATATAAAAATGCATGGCCATCTGCCAATCCAAAAAAAGGTAGATTAGACTACAAAAATGTGTACATGAACTCAGATGAAGGCATCAACAAGCAACATCTAATGTTTTCACTTCGAAGAAATTAATGTAGTACTACATGAGTCAAGCAATTCCAACAATAGAAAGTATTTGTTTGAACTCACACTCTATCATAAATTAATCTCTTCAGCTAGTGATTTCTGGCAAGTAGAATGCCATAGGTTTGTCAATTGTGCAGATTACAGACATTGAACTTGATACAGGTGGGGCTGATATACATATCTACAAAAAAGTTACAAATTTTTTATTCGCTGCTATGGTATCCTGACTTGATTATTTGTATACCATAGTACCCAATTATTTCTTTTTTGTTTTTTCCCTTTTTGTTGATTCTTTTTCTAAAGACCAAACCCGGATGGAGAAATCCTGTCTGAAACAGGGGTCCTGCAAAATTTTAGTAGACTTGTTGTTAATGAAAAACTATTCAAATCCAGGACTGGATAGGGTAATTGCATTTGAAGGAGTTGACACCACTAATATGAGCAAAGATATCTGAGGAATCAACCATGTCTTCCTCTTCTTTCACAACAACCTGTTGGGAAATGAAAGCAAAGTATCAGTAAATATCAGAAAGAATAATTATGCAGTGCAATTCAAGGAAAACAAACTTACTTCATCATCATCATCTTCTTCATGATTGCTACAGGCTTGCCTAGGGTTCTCTCCAAAGTCATCATTCTTTGCAAATCGTCCTCTAACTCGAGGTCGGCTGTCCGCTAGTGTCTTGCGGCAGGCATACTGCAGATTTGGTTGTAAGATTTAGGTGTGAAGAAAGAGTTATTAAATAATTAATGTAGTAAATTGCATGCATATAGATGTTGAAATTAGAGCGTAGAGAGAGGGGACCTTGATTTTCTTGCTGAAGTTCCTCTCGTTCCTTTTCTTCATGTACCTATGGATCTTCTCCTTCCTTTGTTCAACAGAAAGTTTCCCTACTTTGTTGAAAGTTGAATCTTCCAAACTCGAGATCTCTGATGCTAAAGGAGTAGCGCTGGCAGCCGCTCCCACGAGTTGTTGACTCTCACTGCTGAGGGCCTTTTGGAACAATCACATAGAAAGATTGCAAAGTTAAATGAATTGTAGTTGCTTTTTTTAATCCTAAAATGCAACAGGTTGGATCTTTTTCCACCCTCTTTTTGGGATGACATGTTGGTGATGAATTCTCAAAGAAAGTACGTGGTTCTCTTCGGTTTAGTCCAAAATCATG